AACTCCGTTTACGCGCGTACTTTCACGAAAACGATTTATTAACTTTGATCGTTGCGATTAAAAATGGACAGGATGCGCCCGATATCCTGCAGGTCGCCGGTGATGATTGACGCCTCAAGTAGGAAAGAAGATTCTGGCGTGCCACTTTCGATTCAATTAAAAAAACAAACTTATGGGGGGACCACCCGAAACGACGCCTAGAAGATCGTAGATGAACTTATCAAAATTCCTCGACCACCTTTCTAAGGTTATATACAATTATCTTCAAAAGAAGCACAGATCCCCAATATTAAATTAGCCTTTCTTTTTCCACCGGAGTTTACGAAAGAAACAATCGTTCCTGTTTTTTGGTTCCTTGTGGAGTGCTCTTCATTTTTTTCCTCAATCGTAACTCGCGGCGGATCCATCTCAGGTGTTCCATTAGTTTCAGATACCTCCATCCTTTGATCTCGTTTCCTTCTTTCTTGCTTCTCCCTTCTTTACTATTCTCCTCTCCCTGCCACCCTTTCTATCTACTCTTCCTCCTGCTCTTGCCTGCTTGTGCCCATGCCTGAATCTTCTTCTACCTCCTCCTCCAATTCATCGTCAATTACCTTCCTTTTCTTTGGGTCGTTTGCCCCTTGTACACCCTGGTTGCTATCCTGGTTATTTTCGTTCCTCCTCGGCGTAGCACTCCTTCCGGATACAACGCTCAGACCATATTCGTAATTCCTCTGCTTGTCCAATCAACCTGGTTAATTACCCCCGTAACTTGCCCCCTGTTCCCCTTTAATTCAATTTTAGCCTTAATTCTAGGTGTCCTATTGGTTGGAGAGCGTGCGTGCGTGCTCTAAGCTTTTGTTTTTAGTACCGTTACTGAATCATATTTCTTTGTCATTTATATTGTTTTATTAGGTATTTATTTATGTATGCAGGTGGGAGTAGATTATCAATGTACGATCCGTTTAAGAATTTATTTCCGTGAATGGAGTACCCCAAACTGTTTCCATTCTTCGCTGTATGCGTTGCTCCCTTACCTCGTGCCCGCTGCCGGACGGTGCGTAAGCAATACGAGAAGGAGGACCCTCTACTTGATGCTTTTCTAATAATCTACTTTGAGATGAATACTGCTTGTGTTTTTGCATGTACTTTTTCGAAGATTTTGATGTTTTTTATGCACATGCAATTGATCATTTTACGAGTTGTTTTGTCTGAATTAATCCTAGATGGGTTTGAGGTGTTTTTGCACTAAATTTATTGTTTTCCATAGGCAATTATGTCTTTTTTGTGCTTCATTTTTATTAATTGTTTAATTTTATGTGACTCAATTATCTGCCTACTATTGAGCAACTTGTGTTGTTTCAGTTTCATGCGTTTATTTTTGTGGCATTTTGTTGTAGTTAATTAATTTCTTGTACACAAATGTGTGTTATGCCAGTTTTTTTGCCCAGTGATGTTTTTGTGGCCTTTTCGTGCTTAATTGTTGTGTAAACGTCAGGTGGGCGTTATTTAGACTGAAATAATATCGAAGATACTAACGGGTCACCTTGTATATGCAAATATTTAATTTCATTTAAATCTGGAGGATTTCATTACGAATAAGCACAGAATTGGTTTATTTCGCCAGAATTTCTTATTTTAGTGTCTATTTTTCCATTTTAGAATTGCTTTTGCATAATTTCTTGTTTAAATCTTATCATCCGTATAAATTTGTTTATTTAAACTGTAAGATGTGAAAATTGCGTTATTTAGAATTAAGAAACATCGAGTCGAGTTCATTTAAGTGCTATCTGGTTGTTTGTTAAGCAAATTGTTACATTGATTTTAAAATGCAGGATGCAGGTGCACGATTCCTTTGCGCGTGATTTTGATATGCAAGACAGAACATCTCAAGCGTAGGCTAATTTTGTGTGTTAATTGAAGACGGTTTATCAATTTACAGAAGGTTTGTTTTGAAAAATCAAGCGTATAAAGAAACCGTTTTAGAATGTCATCTTATTAACAAAAGTGTAAAGTGTTTTCCGTCTGCACAGCTATAGGAAATAAGTTTTGTTTGTTTAATTCAGGAAACCAGGTTGGGTGATCGACTTCACTGTAATATCAAAGCAAAAAAGTTTCCTGAATCTGTCGAGTCTTTTGTCGAGATTACGTTTGATTTAAAAAAAAACTAAGTAATTTTAAGTTTTTCCTTATTGTGATTGAACACCTGCGTGTGGGGTAAATGTAAAAACGGGTTTCTGCCCCCCTTTATTTCAGGATTTTCTTGTTGATTTTCTGGGTACGTATTTCCGAATAAATTTCTGTCATTGTCAATCAATTAATTGTGTGGTTATTTGAACCCATTGTACGACTCAGATAGGGTTTTCATGATTTGTTTTATTGGTGCTCAAGATTTATCGTTTGGTTTGACTCGTATCTTCAATAGTCGTGCGCCTAGGTGGTTTCAACCTATTGATATCGTTTATGGGACATGGACACCATAGGATATATTATGGATGGCAGCGTGGTTCATTTCATCCTGTTTTTTATACATGTGAAGGTACAGTAGAACTACCGTCCCTCATCCTCCGACACGACAGTTTTTAAAACCGGCAACACTGTAGCGTTTCGACTCTTATCTGCTTGAACACTCGGTTCTTATCTTAACGCGCTTTAATTTCTCGCATATTAGTTCCGTTCTCATTCGTTATAAAGCGGTACTCCTCCGCCTAAAGTGACCACATGTTACACGAGGTAACTTCCTTGTTTATTTCAGTTACCTGGTGGGGCACACCCCATCTCTAATTTTGATCAGAAAAGTTTTGTGCACAATTAAGTGCTAATTTAATGCCTCAAAAAAATTCATCAAAATGCTGGCAAAATAGGATAAAGATGGGGGGGGGGGGAATAAATTAACATTTAATTCCCCATGCTACTTGTATGAGTGAATTCACTGATGAACGTGAGGGTAGTCTGGATTTTCTGGCTAAGTTCCATAGAACTATTTTTATTTTATCTAATTAATTGACATCAATTTGTCCCACAATCTTGTAATTACTTGAATTAGCCAGAATTACGCATGGATACTAAGTAATTAGCTTTAATTCCGTATAGAAGCTGCCGAGTAAGGGTTGTTGACGTTACTGCAAGTAATAACTGCATAAGGTAAGTCCTCTCTCACCTGAAGGCGAAGAATGATTAGGATTTGTTGAGTGAATGTCGTGCATAAAAGCTGACCCCTGACTACTAAGCATTTAACTGTAGCGAAATTGCATATTTGCATTTAAACATGAAAGAAACTCGCCGCTTTACAACTTTTCGTTTAAACTTAGCGGAAGACGCTCTCTGAGAAAAAAAGGATAATTTAATACCCCAACTATTACAGCGTAATCCTAACCCGTAATTTATTCATACGTTCGGCGTCTCTATCGATTTAATTTTAAATTAGTAATCGTCATCGGGATCAGTTCGTCGCAGAGTAGCGGAGATTGAGGATGTTCGCAAACAAGAAACGGTTTAATTACCTACACACATCCATTATACGATCTTATGTGAGGAAGCTGCATGATTGCAAAATCATAAATAAGTTCGTACGACTAATCGAAGATCTTAGATAATTGAAAAGATAAAGTTTACCGTCCGTCCTTGAGGTTTTTCATTCGCGTAGAAGACGAAACTAAATAGTAGGTTGTAATTAATTAGCGAAAGGATTGCTTAATTAGGCTTGGCAGATTCTCACGATTTTCAGTAACCGACTGTAATTGTGGAATATTTCCCTCATTCTTTAAATCTATAAAAGTGGATAAGCAATTAAACTTCGGCATTCTTTGAAAAACTCAAAAATGCCATCGGGTTTGCCAAGAAAAAGTAAGCAACTTATCTCTAATTTTTTTTTATATTTGTGTAGATATAAGCAGTTTACCTTTGTATTTATCTTACGCTTCAAACCCTTTTGCAAGTTCTAAAAAGGAAAGACTCATTCAATGGGTCCAAAAGTTCCTTAATCTAAGTTGTTGCGAATATTGGTTTCCGCTAAAGATAATCCAAGAAAAGTTCATTTTTTAGTGAGAGCGGACGCCAATGGGTCTTTTTGGATGAAACCTGGGTATTTAAAAATAGAACAATATGGAAATCATGGTCAACACCGCCTTCGGTGTTTTAAAATTCATGGAGAAATCCGAAATGAACGCGTGTTTGAAAAAAAAACTGTGGTTTGATTATCAGGATGGAAACAGGATAATTGGCGAACAAATTAGGTGAAACTTTATCGCCCGTGCGACCTTCAACAACCAGCTGCAACGATGCACGTTGATTTTTTTGGAAAAAATATGTGCTTCCTAAAAAATTCGTGACCTGATTTTTATTGTTACACAATTTTAAGTGTTTTGTGGATTTTCTTTTGCTTTTGTTGTCTTTGTTAATTTAGTTAGTGCAATTGTTTGGGCAACGCCAGGGTTTTTGTCCCGAAGAAGGTTTCCCTGACATTGCCTGGTTATATGCGTAATATATTTTATATATTCTGGTCTTTTCTTACGCACAACATTTTTAGTTTTTATTCAGTTTCCTTTCCCATTTATGTATAAAAAGAACCGCCAGTTTTAACACCGACTGCTACCCAGATTCGAAAGTGCCGGAAACGTCCGTGGCTGTGCTCGTGAGTATGGGGTAAAAATTGTAATAATTACTTTTCGACTACTGCTGCTAAGTACTGCGGGCGTAGTTATTACGAAAAAACAATTAAAAATTTTTTTCAATTTCCTTTACGTCCAAATAATAATGCCCAACTTGCTAGTAAAGATCGCGACATAGACAACCGCTTACAAATAACTACCGAAACATTTTTTTTAAGTAATTGGTCAATAGAAGTCTTTGATGTAGCACTGTCGGTATGGTTGCCTACATACGTATTCCAATCCATTGATTGCGTGATGCTATGTAAACATACTTAGTGATTACGTCATAATACACCGATGACGTAAACAATATGTTGACTCGAACGGTCATTAATGTCATACAAGTGCAATAAATTGAAAAAAACTCACCATATCCGTATAAGGGATCTTCGTGTTGAGGAGACGTCTGATCTGAAAATGAAGAATGCTATGTAAATTACCGTAGTTCGTACGGGAAAGGTGTTTGAGTAAATGGCATTCAAAAAATTCATTATTTATTGTTCTTCTTGTCCCTCTTTTTTTTAGGCCCTTAACAGGCTTTTTAGAGGTGCCCCTGCAGAAGATCTTAAGTTGTTCTATACTACTCCGGTATTTACCTTACGAATTAGGAAAACTGCAGGAAAAGCTAATTCGGAATAGCCGACAGAATGCTCGAAACTGATCTAAGGATATTCCCATCTCTGCCACAGATGAAAAATTCCTACCTTAGTCCAGGTTCGAACACCCGACCTTCGGTTTTGTAGCCCAACACTCTACCACTGAATTGCAAAGCCGACCAATTATAACAACCTGATTTGTTAATTAATAGGCGTGAAAAAGAAGTAAATAAATACCAAAACGTGACATATTGTGAGTGTAGCTAATTTACAACAACAAGAGGAATAAAGGAGGAGGAAGAGCGAAATATGTATTTAAACTTAATTTATTAATAAAAAACATAAAAATACAAAAAAAAACTTATGTAAAAAAATTATGAATGGAGTATTTTTTTTTATTTTCTAAAACCTCGCCCCTCCTTTCATTATTTACATTTACAGTAGTGGCTAAATTACCGCCACCGCCACCCGGACTGCCTTTGGACACTTTATTAAAAATTTATATTCCACCAATGGCAATGATAGAGTGATATTTTATCAATTTCCGGCGCGTCTTTTAACTCCCAATAACCTGTTAAGAACCGTAAAAAAAACGAAAAGAACCGAAAAAAATAACGATTCCGGTTCTCAATAAGTTTCCATTTCTGAATTAATAACGGTTTTGGTTCGGTTTTCGGTCCTGAAAAAATACCGGTTTCGGTTCGGATTTCGGTTTTTTTTTCGGTCCGGTCCGGGTCCCTGATCATTATGTATGTATATGTGGTGGTATTGGAACTATAATAGTAGGACGAGAAGTTTTTAACTGGGATAGAAGGATCCAGGTACCTTGAGACGCTTATGTTTTTAATATAGAATTTTGAGTTGTCAATAAAATTTTAAAATAAAGTTTAAATCATATTTAAAAATAAAACTTTATATAGGTATAACGTACTTACTCTTGCTCCCGTACATAGTACGTACAGCAAAGTATGTACAAAGTGGTGCAAAAATAACGTATCATGTACGTGAAATGTACATCCGTAAATCCAGGGCTGTACGTACTATGTATATGCAATGTACGTACTTGTGTTATTTAGAAAGTAGCCGTGCGGTTCAGTTAACTTTCTATTAAACACCAGCGTGACTGTATACCTAATAAGTAATATAGCGAGACGGTTATGAATTTCTCCATTACAATGTAAAAAAAAAACGATTACGGTGAAACCGTCACCGGCTGCCACAAAGCACAATATATCTCCAAAATAATGAATTTTAACACTATCACTTCCATTTAAGGACAAAATACAATCTCCTTGCCTTCAAATTAATGTTTTATTTCACAATAAAAGGACTAGATCACAAAATGTTATGCAGTCACCACTTTTATACTGTGAGTAATGACTCACGCGTACCGTCCACGTACAAAAATTAGACAACTAAAGTTAGAAAAACCGATCTTGGGACCTGAAAGACCAAAGCGCTCTGCGCATGTCATGATCACATGCAAAATTATCAGTTGACCGAAATTGCCGGCGTACCATGTACGTACTTTGTACGTTATAGAGTTATAGTTTGTGATCGTACACAACTGTACTTACATCAGACGTACATATTTGGACGTAAGTACGTAACATGGAACAAAAATGTACGTACAGTGGACGCTCAAATCAGCACAAAACTATTTCGCGAGATCAAAAAGCACAAAACGTGGGATTTGGCGCACAAATCGCACACAAATGGTAGGTACAAATTGGACATTGATGGGAACAATTTATTGCACGCTAAGCATAGGTAGCCTTTGAGAAATACCCAATATTCGAGACCCCATAGGTATACATCGTATGTACATTGAAGGTCCATCAAGCAAATCTAGAGAGGATATGGCCCTCATAAGTTTATTTACAAACATGTTTGTTTTTGCCCACTCTGTTACACATATCTATACAAAAACTCAATGCATTTCATTGGAACCATGGCCATGACTAGCTGATATCGGCGAGAGCTAAATACGAAGCAGTCAGATGAGATTGAAAAAGACCCCCTATCCTCAATATCTAAGCATTGAACTAACTGAATAAATGAAGAAGGTTTCTTTAAGAAAAGGTCACCGAAAATTTGGCAGGCTAATCTGAACGCACGATAACCACTTTAAATTGAAATGAATAATTCACTTACAACACTCCGTCTTGGGCAACACAAAATTAAAATCCATTTCGATCATGATAGTTTCGCAACAATTTTCGCACAATTAACGTAACGAGGGGTGCGCGACGCGTAAACCGAAAAAAAAATTGCATTAAGTTCCCGTGCGCGCTCATCGAGGCAAGTGTGAGTAAGCATAGAATGAACACAAACGCAGGCGGCACTGGGAGGTCGTAGGTCACGGACGAGTCGAGACCTCCAACCTTTCCCCTTGTAACGCTCGCAACTATTCATTTTATGATGGAATATTTATAATTCGAAAACCCACACGGCTAAGGTGCTCGACGAGAGGAGAGAAAAAAATCTCGCGCGCCCACCGCCGATGGGCGCACCCGCCTGGCCGAAATCGCCCTTCGCCGCCGAAACGCTTACTTCTGAATGTGATGCAACTCGTTATAATCGTAATGAACTTTTAAAGAGTTCAAAGGTAAGAGGCCGCAACTTTGGCCTGCCCCGGCCTATTTAAATAACATATAGCCGGATTTGTAATAAAACTTCGTCATGTCTAAAATGAGAAAAACAAAGCAACGGATCGGACCAAAAGTTGAGTATGTTAAACGGAACAATGCCGCGACTTAATTGGCCGCGACCTTTACGAAAGGTAGACAGAGAACTAGGTTTTTATTGGCGTGTTTACGCGGTTTGGGTTATTTATTAGCGATGAACTTGTGTAAAATAGTTATAATTTACATTAAGTTGTAATTTGAACTGGCCATCTTCTGTTTAGTGTTATTGATAAGCTATAGTCACTGAAATCGCATTTAGCGTAAGCTTCCTGCATGGTAAATTACAATCACCATCGCTCACCAGTCTCGCGCCCTCTTCTCGAGCCTCATTACCTAAATAAGATACACAGAAATGAATAAAATAGAAAAGGATACTCATGGATGGGTCATAAAGGCGTAACACGCCAAAATTGCATTGTTGTAAATAGAACGCCCTGTATATTATTCGGTTTTTCAATTATTCTCTGAATTTTAAGCGAAGTTTGTAAAAAGCATAATGTACCTAAATTCAGTCGTTTCCGGGTTGCAATAGCGTTCATTTTCAAAACTCGATAACTCGGAAACGATTGAATTTGGGTACATTATGATTTGTACAAATTTTGCTTAAAATTCAGAGACGAATTGAAATATCGAATAATACGTAGGGTGTTTCATTTAAAAAATAGAATATTGGTGTGCCACGCCTTTATGACAAACCCTGAATAATTATAATTATGACTGCCTAGTAGACATTAAATAACCTCAAAACTTTTGCATAAAACATATTTCGATACCTTGATTTACGAAATGCATGTGCGGTAAATTGGTCCCGGAAAACTCACCCCGGAAGATTCTTCCTCAAAATATTCGTGCGGAACAGTCATCGCGCAAAAGGTTTGACTGACGCACGTTCGGAATTTTCGATCCCAAGAAAACTCGCCCCCGGATTATTTGCTCCCAGAAGATTTGCGCTCTGAAAATTTTCTGCCAGTATCTTCCCCAGGAACCTCACCATTATATTCTTACACCTCACCATTATATTCTTACACCTTTTCCTAAAAATAACGTCACTACTATCAATGCTACGGCAGCTCTGGAAATTGATTAGGCATAAATATTCTTATAAATATGAAACTTACCTTTGCGCAGTCTGATGCTTAAAATATGCGATATGTTCGCATTTATTAGAAGAATCTTTGGTTAAGGTTTCAAAAAAAATCTCCATAAATAACAAAGATGACATTATGCGGATATCTGATTTTTAAAATATGCGATATGCTGGAGGTACAATTTCAAAAAAATATCTCTCTGAATAAGTTCTAATTTCCTCCCTTAATCCTCCTCCATAATCTTTTCTTGCATTTTATCTATTTGCTCCTTTGTCTCATTAGCTGCCCATCTTATTTCCTCCTTTACTTCTTCCATCAATTTCTCGATGTTTTTCTCTTCCTTGCCCCTCAATTCGCTTCCACCCTCTTCTTTCTCTTGCTCAGGCGATCTTATTTCTTGCTTCATATAAACACTTCGATCTACTTTTCCTCTATTACTTATTTCCTGTCTTTTTACTCCCAAGAAGTTGGTGAAACAATGTGGTAACTGAACTGTATATATGACTGTGACTCAGGTCCGTGAAGTTAGGGTGTCGACTTGAAAGGAATTAAGTTATAAGTATCTCGTAATTTTGTGTTCATTTTGTGCTAATTTGTGCTGCTAATTTAAAATTTTGTGCTCATCAGGTTAGTAGGTAAGTAATTCAATTTTTTCTCATGGCACTCCAACTTCAAGCTCTAGTATTCTGGAAGGTATGTTATATATAACTTTAAATCGTTTAATTATTAACGAAATGACTATTTTTATGTAGCCGTAAAGAGGAAAAAATGTCTAATGGTTGTTTAACACTATTTGACAATCGATTAGTAATAATTATTTGATAAATAATAATTTCCTTTGCGCGTTTTGGTTTGGTTTCCCCGAAGTCGCTCAATTTACTAAAACTGCTGACAAAAGGAAATATAAAACCCATTTCTTAAAAATGTCGTCTGAAAAACATTTTTGTGTCCTTTGGCCACAATTCATTCTAAATATGTGATACAATTCTAGAAAAAACAAAAAAGTTGCTCGCGTACCTAATGAATTTTACTCTGCGCGG